GTCAACCTGCATTTTGGGGATCGGTGCCAGCTATGTGTATCCCTGCTCTGTGATGCCATATTCTTAGTCAGCCATGGTGAAGTCCAACTTACAGACTGGACCCATGTCTTCCCCACCAGCTAACCATCTTGCTCATATGTAGTGCTTTCCTACAATAAGGCTAGTCGATTTTCGCATCTTGTTACAGTGTCTTCCCATTCGGGTAGATAGTGACCTCCACACCACCCTCACACTTCAGGACTGGGATGCTTCTGGTTATCCCAGACTCTGATAATAAAAGGGCCCAGAAACATTGCAGGGCTGTGCTTTTGGAAACATTGTTCACTCTTGCGATTTGCTTGACAGGTTCTGCAACAAATAAGTAACAGATTTGGCTACTGTGGCACTTTCCATACATTTCCCTATAATGTTGTTTCAACATGATGGTGGAGTTCCCGGCCTGAAAGAGAATGTCTGAGGGAGGGAATGTTCCAGTGCCACAGTCGCTGAATCACCAGCCAAATGCTAGAGTGAGTGGCTCCTTAGCTTCTTTGCCAATTTAGAGGCATTCATTGGCCCGTTTTCTTACTCTTTAGAGTGATTGATCATCTGGCAATTTTCCAAAATGTTGGAGTTGTCTCTTTCAGGAAACAAGTGTTACAACAGTTACTGGACATCCAGAGTTTTAAGAATTTTTTTTTTCTTATTGGGTTAAATGAGGTAGGTATATTTAAGTATTTAAGGGATTTTGACAAAGAAAATGCCATTCAAGTGTCAGACAATAACTATTTAGGAAATAAACACAACATACACAACACACACTAGAGAAAGGTAAAAGTTTTGTGCTAAATGAGCTCTAATTCAAAACAAAAATCTTTAAACATTTTTTTTTGATGTGATAAAAAAAAAAAACTTTTTTCTATAAAAGGCAGGTATTGCCATGTCTGCTAGGTCTGTGAACTCTAAATGCCGGCCACTGATATTAGCTCTGTTACATGATTGGCTGAGGTGCCCTGTGAAATCCATGTTAGTAATTACACTTTCTCAAATAGTGACTAATACACAGATTTTAATCTCAATATGGCTTAGAAAATCTGTGGTTTAACTAGGGATGTAACGGTATCAGAATTTCACGGTACGGTAATACCTCGGTATGAATGTCACGGTACGGTATTTATTGAATCATTTACAGGAAAAAACAAAACTTATGAAAATACTCCAAAAAAGTGCCAAAAGTGTCAATGACATACAAATTAGCCATCTATCTGTAAGCTTTGAAACAGGAACTTCAATTTTAATAACAAAAAATTATTAAGCCATGTAAAAAAATAAAGTTTCAATTTAGTATTGTTGAAAACTCATTACATTCAACATTTAATCACTCACTCACTCACTTAGATAGAGATGGGTTTAAAGGAAAATTATCATATAACTATAATCTGGTAAAAGCTGGTATCTCTGGGCATTTACAATGTCCCCTGCAACAGAAAAAAACCCTCTCATTTGGGACTGAGGATTCTGGGACAGAGATATGACTTGGCCCATGTTGACAGCAGTGGGTAACGTTGTGCATTGTCTTTCCCCCACTTGAGAGGACAAACCATGAGTGAGATAGAGGTCTCTTTGCGGTACAAGTCAATGTCTGCATCAATCTGAACAGTGTGCTGTGTTTCTGCAGTCCCCATGACTGTTATTAGACGTATTCCCCAACTTGCAGGCACGTGCACACATAGGGCTCAACCTGTGCAGTGCAGTGCACATGCCCTTTTTAGTCTTGGATAGAAAATGCCCTTCCAAATCGATCAAAAGTACCCCCGCGACGCGACACAACCTCCGTCCAGCCCTTCAGTAGACAACACCGCTCTTGAGAATGCGCGCTCAACCCCCCCTCGGCACTTTACAATACGCTCGCGACAACACAGCTGATCAGAACGCGCGACAACACTGCTATTCAGCACGCGCGCGGCGACAACACCCGCTTTAGGTTCGATCATTTCCATCTTTTTTTCATCTCCGCTACTAGCAGCACACTCCATTTCCGCATTACTGGATCTGTAGCAACAGCAGACCGCAAAGGATTATGGCCACGCCTGGGCTGATGGGAAATGTAGTTTAAGCTACCTCCCGTTCGCTTCATTCGCCTGAGCAAATTTTCTCAGAAGACCTATAGTTTTACCGAGTCATGCGACTTCGGTAATATCGAAAAAAATTAATATTGCGGTATGACGGTATTTACAATACCGTTACATCCCTAGGTTTAACCCATGACTTATTCTAAGGCATTTGAAAAACAAAAAACTACTATTCTGCATGCAAAACGTATCATAAACTGCAATAAAGGCTGGTTCATTGAGTCAGAATGAGACAAATTCAGGTACTCAAGACCAGGATTGTTTTGATGTTTTTGAGTGCAGGTACTGTGTTTGCATTAGGCCAATGGAACCAAACTAAAGGGAAAAAAATCTGACAAATTCTAAAACAATTCAGAGTGTGAGAGCAACATAAATACAAGGTTTATAATATCTAACTAGAGAAAGAGAAGAAAACACCAGAAACACCAAGTTCTAAGTCTCTATTTAGCATGTTAATCATTTTTACACAGCTAGGTTAGGGTGGTCTTGAAGCAGGTCTTTGTCTGCTTAAAATATATATAGTTTTTGAATAAATATGCTGCTTCAGGTTCGGTTTCTGTGCTGCCTTTGCTGTGTCCAAGACACTGGCCCAGAGAGGGAGAGGATATACACTGCTGCAAAAAGGTAATGTAGCTACAAGCAAACCACTTTGAATCAAGGTGCTTTCATCTTTGTGCTTCATAAATTTAAGTAGATTCTGCACCTACTTCAGGGCCTCATCTATCTGTTACAGATTTTAAGACCACTTCCATGCTTCAGGAAAGTCTATCGCACTTTATGTTTAGGGCTGACAAAATGGATTCCATCTCATTTCCCTACTGCACTATTGAAGAAATCTCAGATGAAGGCTGACAAACAACCTTTATAAAAAATAAAACATGTTATTCGTGTTTTCCCAGTTTTGAGTTGCATCTATTAGGGCATCCGCTGTGTAAAACATATGCTGGAATAGTTGGCGGTTCATTAGGCTGGGGCGACCTCTGATAAATAAAGGACTAAGCTGAAGGAAAACGTATGAATGAATGATTGTTATTTGTGTGTACATATACTTAAAAATGTAAGTATATTTTTGTTTAAAGTGCAAATAACCTCCCACTTGTTCTTTAACAAATATTGTGTTTCTTTGTTTCTCATTTTATTAGTAACTTTCAATCATTTTTGTAGTGTTCAATTGATTTTGCCATAAATATAGCACTTTAATATGTAAAATCAATGGAAATCTATGGAAACAAGCTCAGTTTAAGAATCATACGCCTTTTGCCCAGGTAAACAAATATAGTTTGAAAAATGATCCATGTATATTACACTGGCATTTAGTGGAGAAATAAAAGAGCTGCCAAGCAGGTTGAAAATATGACATTAAACAATATTAAAATCGATACAATAGTATTTTAAATTGGTAACTACAGGGTGGGCCATTTATATGGATACACCTTAATAAAATGGGAATGGCTGGTGATATTGATGTCATGTTTGTGGCACATTAGTATATGTGAGGGGGCTTGTAAATACTGTAATTCATGAAAGAATAAAGTTACTGTGGTGAGGGGGCGTGGCCGAGAGCTGTGGGAACGGAATGAGGCCGCCGTGTAAGTGGATGCTCCAGCGGTGCGCACCGGCCTCGAATCCCACGGAAGGAGCTCTGGACTATAAAAGGAGGAAAGGTGGCAGAAAAAGCAGAGAGAGGACTGGGCCTGGACATATTGTTTTACTTTTGTTTTCAGTTTGAGCTGCCGTCCGTTTGTTTTGGTTTAGACGGCAGTCTCCGTGAGGAGCTGCCGTTCATGTTATAAATAAATAATTTAAACCTGCGTCGGTTTTCCGCCTCCTTCTTCCCAGCGGCCAAAGGGCCGTAAACTTCATTACAGTGGTGCCGAAACCCGGGAGAAGGAGGGACACGTTGCCCAGTTGCCCTCACCGCTGAGAGGGAGGCGAGTGTTCGGGAGTTAACCCGAGTGGGGGAGAAACCCGTTCGTCTGCCCAGAGTGCTGAGGCGGCCTGAGGCTGGCGAGGAAAGGATCTGCCTGCTGCCGTCTCCCAGCATGGGGAGGAGCAGGGGACGCGGGGCTCACCACCGGAAGGGAAAGTGTTGAAGGGAGCCATCCCACAGAACCCGGGGAAGTCACCGCGATCCGCCATGATACCGTAGCCTGCATCCGTCCACCGAAGCGGGAGCGGAGCAGGAGACCAGAGATGCCGCCAGCCAGCCAGGTGAACCGCCGCCGGACACCAGAAGACGGACGGGTGGATAGATTCCTCCACAGGGCTCCCAACACGTCGTCGCATCTCTCAGCTGGTGGAGGACCGAGTGGCAGCGTGTCTGGAGAACCGAACCCCTTTTTTTTTTTTTTTTAACTTTTTCCTCTCTCCCCTTTCTCGGTCTACTCTGTCCTTTTTCCTTTTCCATCTCCTTTTCTCTCGGCCCGTCTCATATAGGTCTCGCGGATGCTGTGACGTAAGTGGATGCACCTGCGGTGCGCACCGGCCTCGAATCCCATGGAAGGAGCTCTGGACTATAAGAGGAGGAACGATGGCAGAGGAAGCCGAGAGAGGTCCTGGCCCGGGCATATTGTTTTACTTTTGTTTTCAGTTTGAGCTGCCGTCCGTTTGTTTTGGTTTAGACGGCAGTCTCCGTGAGGAGCTGCCGTTCATGTTATAAATAAATAATTTAAAAACTGCATCGGTTCTCCGCCTCCTTCTTCCCAGCGACCAAAGGGCCGTAAACTTCATTAAAACTTTACTAAAACTAAGCACACCATTGTTTTTCTTGTGAAATTCCCAATAAGTTTATTAAGGTGTATCTATATAAATGGCCCACCCTGTAGAACCGTGTGATTTTATTGTGCTGAAAACTGAAATGTTGGTATGTAGTAATGGAAAGACTCTTACCTGGCATATCGTGCTAACAGCTTGGAGAGCACACTTCTCTACACTATTCACCAAATAAGGCTGGGAGACTTTAAGTTTCTCAATATTTGAGCAATAAGCCTCGATCTGGTCTAGATGATCTTCCTAAGTAGAGTAAAAGAAACAGTTTGTTTACCAATACAGAAGATATATGTCATCAAAAACATTGTAACATAAATAATTATACTATCAATATAACTCAAAATTACGTGTTCATATATAGTTGAAGTCAAAATTATTAGCCATCCTGTTAATTATTTTTCTTTTTCAAATCTTTCCCAAATGACGTTTAACAGAGCAGGGAACTTTTCACAGTATTTCCTATATATTTTTTTTTTGTCTTCTGGAGAAAGTCCAGAATTATTTTGGCTAGAATAAAACAATCAACAGTCAATACCATTAGTCCCCTTAAACATTTCATTCAGAATATCTTTACTTGTATTTAAAAATGAACGAAGGTCTGGAATGATTGAAACAACATGAAGGTGAGTGATCAATAACATGATTTTCTGGAATTGTGCTATTAATACCTGTTGATATTTTCCCTCAAAGTCTGTTGTAAATGTGTCTCTCCATTCTTTAATGAAGTCCTTACACACGAAATCAATGGCAATAATGTTATTCCAAACCTAAAAACAAAACATTAATATAATATATTAATTATATTTTTGTTCAATTTTAGACTTTTTGGACTGTGTAGTATGTATAAAATGTGTTTTTCTACTTACCTCAGTCTCCGTACTGAAGCTGGTACCCGTCAGATGACTTGAAAACAGATGACTGTTTAAAAGTCTGCCTTTAAAAGTTTGACGCATCCACGCTCTGACAGTTTGCTTGGTGTCATTGAGAAGCACAAGAGTCTTCTCAGCAAATGTGTCAGCTTCTTGTTTTGTCTTAGGGTTGAAAAAAAACGTACATACTGAAGCAATTTTACATCTTATCTGTCTTTTGCATACTGTCTTTAAGAAATTTAAAGGGGACCTACTATGTCCCTTTCTACAAGATGTAAAATAAGTCTCTGGTGTTCCCCTAGATCACGTGTGTCCCAACCCAGTCCTGGAAGGCCGGTGTCCTGGAGAGTTTAGCTCCAACCGTAATCAAACTTTCTGGCAGGTGTGTTAAAGCAAGTTCGAGTTAAACTATGCAGGACACCGGACCGAGTTTGGACACCTCTGCCCCAGAGAGTGTATGTGAAGTTTCGGCTCAAAATACCACACAAATAATTTTCACAACTCTTTGAAACTGCCCCTTTAGAGGGCCTTTAGTTTTGTGACTGCTGCTTTAAATTTAAATGAGACTGTGCTGTTTTTAAAAAGGGGGGAACTACAAATGTTTGTGCATCAGCATAGCAGCAGATTAAAAACAGGACTAGCGTTATCTCTGTGAAAAACTACTAATGTGAAAAGAGTTGTCTCAGAAGAAAGAAATCCAAGGAGACTACAGTGTTTATTTGTGCATCCTAAAACTCCACATTTCTTATCCTCTTAGGGCTCTATTTTGACGGTCCATGTGCAGAGCGCAAAATGCAGGGCGCAAACGCTTTCAGGGCATGTCAGAACGCGTTTTTGCTAATTTAAGGATGGGAAATCTGCCTTGCGCCGTGGCGCATGATCTAAAAGGGTTGAGTTTATTTTCTTAATGAGTTATAGGAGTGTTTTGAGAATAAACCAATTAGAGTCTCATCTCCCATTCCCTTTAAGAGCCAGCTGCGTCGCGCCAAGAGCGCATTCGCTATTTACAGGACGCAAAGTAAGTCTAAGTGGAAAAAATGAGCATTTCACAAGCAAACAGTTAACAGTTGACAGTTTTTTAACAGAAAACTGTTAAACAGAGCATCTACTGCGTGAGAATGAGAGATAATGGAACTACTTTCACATTCGCTCTTGGATAGGGAAACCTTTACGCACAGACATCAATTAGTCTATAAATAAATACTTTTGTTTGTTAAGCGCAAAGATTTGTTTCAAAACTATTTCTAAATTCAGTTCTAATTTCTAGCAAACGAATAAATGAACAATAATGACCAAGTGTGGTCAAAATACGGAGTTGTTTCCAAATACACCTGCCAAGCCCCATATGGTCTAAAACCTGGAACAAACAAATATAAATATGGATATAATAAATAATACTGCTAATAATAATAACATTATACAAAAGTATATTTATATATACTTGTTATGAATGAACTGAAAAAGCCTCCCGAGATGAAGAAGACATAAAAGCAGTGATTTTTCATATTTATTTAGACTAGAAAATAATATGTTTTGTAATATTTTAATCCTTTATATTTATATCCTATATCTATTCTTATTATATCCTATATATATATATCCTTAATATTTACATTTTTTCATATGTAAAGATATTTGCCTATTGATCTCTTGTGTGTTTTAAGCAGTGCGTAAGCGAGGCGCAACTCTGCGCCGGAGTTTAGACCGGGTTAGTTTTGGTCTAATGAAAAATCTATTATAGTTTCTCAAAATAGCGACGCGCCAGCAGTCCGCCTCACAACGCCTCCCTTTTTAGACCAGAACGCCTATGAGCGCACAAATGAGCGCTAATGCATTTGCTATTTAAACAGTGTAGCACAATGCCTCAAAACAACTCTTGCACCAAGCTGAAACTCCTAAAAGACTATTGCGCTGCGTCTTGCGCCACACTGCGCCGGGTGTATGATAGGGCCCTTAGTCACTGACTTTATCTTCAACACGTGAAAACTCTAATAGCAGACGGCTGCTTCTCACTTAGGGCTGTTTATGCTAACGAGGGAACGATTGTCACTTATGGGTGGGGCTTTTCCCCTCTGATGACATGTACAAAGGGAAAATGTCAATCAAAATGTTTCTGCAGACTGTTTTTATCAAGCGTGATTAAAAAAAATAGAATAATAAGTGAACTATTTGAAGCTACATTCACACACCGTTGCCACACAACTGGGTTTAAACTCCATATAAAAGTGATTTTTGCTTAATAGGCCCCCTTTAAAACAAAGATAATACAACATCAAAATGGAGTACCTGAGCAAATCCTGACACAGAGGCCACTAGGTTCATGCAAGCAACAGGGATATCAGTGAAATTTTGACTGTGCCCAAAGTAACGAACAAGACTGCAGATTTTCTCTAGAAGCTTGCAAGCTGCTTGTATGCACTGGATGCCATAATCCACATCTGGACAGCTACAAGAGGAATAAAAGTCAGTTAACGATGATTATGATAAGAGTGATCTATTTGAGAATCATATCTTTACGTTAAATCAAGTGGACAAAATTTCATCACCATCAACAGCCAACATCGACCATTTTAAGAGGTGGATTATTTTTTAAATAATAATTGAATTGTTGTCAGTTTCAGTAGAAGAACTTTACCTGTATCTATGTTGGAGTAATTGACTTTGAATGTGTGCCAGAGCCTCAGCTGTACTCTGAAAACAAATGAAAAGAATCAATTATGAACAGTTTGGCGGCTACTGTTCTGGTTTGTACATAATATATGGTTATTTCTTATGATGAGAAGACACTTACTTCGGAAGAGGTAAAGCTTATATTATTAGGGCATTTCATGGTGAAAAGCTGGAGGATGTCCAAGAGTTCCACGGGGAAAATGGAGCCACACTCGACCAAATCATCTAAAGGCATCAGATACATCCAAGAACGAATCAGCAGTCTGTCTACCTCCACTAAATGTCCGTAAGTCTTCATGAGATTCAGCATCGCCCTTAAACAGTGAACAGCGGTATTTGACGATGATGTCAGAAATCACAAAACATTTTGCCAGCACAAGATAAATGGGTTCAAATGTGTTTTAAAATCAGAAGAAAAAAAACACTTGAATAACTTGATACCTGCGTTCCTGAGGTCCAGGGGAAAGTATATTAGATCGGAGTCCTTGCAGTCCAGCCCAGCTCTGCTCATATTTTGAGTTGACCTTAGTAATCACTTGCTCAAATGGTTTGGAAGTGCCTTTGAGAAGGTGCAGTAGAGGAATTACAATGATCCATCTGGGCATGTTCTCTGCTTTCAGTTTGCTAATTAGCGCCTCCACCATGTCAGAAAAACTGAAGATGAAAAGAGAGTTTTTCAGAGTCTGATATTTCTCACAAACAATGGACTTTTACAGTACACTGTGAATAGGTTTAAATATAACTTTTTTTTTTTTAATCACCAAAACCTATATTCATTTAAAAATAGATGCTTAAAGAATACATTTGTTTTTGTTTACTATCCAAGCTAATCAAACATAACACACACCATTGTTCCAATTTATCCAGTGCATTTATTACGGTCTCCATTTCATGTGCTGTGGTGCAGATGTGACACGTTCTACTGAGATCTACAGGGATTGGGCATTGAAGCTTAAACGTCTGGTTTTGTAAACCACAATAATTCATTAGTTTGGTGTAGGATCTCTTTTTGCAGCCAACACAGCATCAATTAATTTTAGGAATGACATATACAAGTCCTGCACAGTGGCCAGAGGGATTTTGAGCCAGAATACTATTCTTCTTGCAGAATAGTAACCAGGTCACTGTGGGATACTGGTTTAAAGAAAACGTTTCCTGACTCGCTCCTCCAAAACAGGCTCGGATAGGCTAATCGGGAGGACCGGGAGAATTCCCGGTGGGCCGGTCTGTTTTTTGGCCGTGAGGGCCGGTGTCCCTAGCTCCAGGGTCTGTCGCTCTCAGCAGTCACACTTTTTAAAAATAATTTATTTATTTACTTGACCACAGCCTTCTTATTCATTATTTTACTGCAGCTCTGCTCTTTTTATCTATTTTCTCGTAGCCTCGTGAGCAAGATGCAGCCTACAGGTTAATGATGATATAACTAGATAAGTCACCATTCAATGCACAGCTGTTGTTTTACAGTGGTTAGCACGTTAGGTTGTGACGCCGCCATCCCGAGTTCGGTCCTCGTCTGAGTAACGTTTTTTTTTTTCATTTTTATTGTTAAGACATATAATACTGTTAGGGTTGTTGAACATTTAAAGTTCTAAAACAGCAGTTTTTTTTTTTTTTTTAAAAGACGTGATAATGTAATTAGAAACTGAAATAGAAATGACCATATTTTAATATAGTCAGTGGTGAACTGAGGTGGGCCGGTCTAAGGCTTGAAACTCAAGGGCTGAAAAAGAGTCCCACTCCGGCCCTGCTCCAAAACACCACAAAGTGGCTTAATAACATTTATGTCTGGTGAGTGTGCAGGTCATGGGAGATTCAACTTCATTTTGATGTTTATCAAACCATCTGTCACCAGACTTGCTGTGTGTATTGGTGCATTATCATCCTGATACACACGACGCCTTCAGGATACAATGTTTGAACCATTAGGTGCACATGGTCCTCCAGAATAGTTTTATTGTCCTTGGCAGTGACGCGCACATCTAGCACAAGTATTGGGCCTAGAGAATGCAATGATTTTGCAGCCTAAACCATCACTGCATGCAACTGCACTTCACTCTGCATGCAATAGTCTGGGTGGTACTCTTATTTGGGGCTTCTCCACACCGTAACTCTCCCAAATGTGGGAAAGAAAGTGAAGGTGGACTCATCAGAGAACAACACGTTACACATTGTCCACAGCCCAAGATTTTCTCTGCGGGCACTACTGAAATCAACATTTGGCATTTGCATGAGTGTCCAGTGTATTTTGACCCTGTGGAGCTCCCGACAAACAGTTTTCTTAGGTAGCTTCCTCTTACGTGCACAGTTACTTTTGTAGGATGTGGTTCATCCATCTTGGTACTATGCTGACATTATCCTGGATAACAGGAGCCACTTTTGATACATCACAAAGACTTGCTGTCTGGGTCACAGATGCACCAGCAAGATGCACACCAACACTTTGTCCTCTTTTGAACTCTGATATGTCACTCATCATGTTGTGTGCATTGCAATATTTTTTAAACAACCTTCACACTGCTCTTACTGGTGGAACGTGCTGATCTGGTGGAATCAATGAAGATTGGCCCCCAGGCAGGTCAAATTTAACCTTGAAACCTCCAACACTAAATTAGCCAGTGTTTCAGTTTCATTGTCCAACCCTTGAGTATCATTTACCATATAACTAAGATAACAGTACTCACCTATTTATCACAGAGAATGATTCGGTTATGTCAGTCCAGAGAGACAGGAATTCATCCTTAGGTAAATTTGGCAGGCAGACAGCAGTGCAGAGACGAGAAAGAGTACCGTAGTCTAATTTTAAATCATATTGTTTCCACACATACAGCATAATGAGACCAGCTTTCAGTGGCTCCTGGATGAATTTACTCTTTTCGTTGCTGTCCTTCTGTAGCTCTGGAGTCACGTGCATCAGCATGAAGTTCTTGAGGAGCTCGCGGACCTACCAGGATGAAAATTGACTTTATTTTTCAGCTTTGCCTTTAACCCCTGTGTATTGTTCAAATGTACTACCCTTTCGTTATGTTGGAGGCTGTTTTGGCCCCAGTGACTTCCATTATACCAACATTTTTTTTATCGAAAAGCCATTACTGTACATCATATAATCATGCTTGTTGGTGGTTTTCCCTATTGGGAATTTACCAACCTACGTCACACATGACATCACACATTATTTCTTGCACATAACCACACAGAACAAAATTGTTGGCATCAAAAGAATTGTAGGCCTTTAACTTCTCTCTAGTAAAATCACGTGGAGTTTCAATGAGATAGTTGTGTATTTGGGGCTGAATGCTTGGCCCTTTCGTCTTATCCAATATCCATTGGGAGGTTGCTATCACAAATGGACCTGTCAGACGAATGCAACAAACTCTGTACCGCATCAGATGTCATTCCCTCGCTGTAAATGCTAGCGCTGTCGTTTTTTTTCTGCCACCTCGCTGCGCGCGCATCCTGTATGTTTACAAATCGGTAATTTGTCTATTGGGAAGAGGTACAATCCACCATTTGTACTGTTGATTATAATTTAGCACCATTAACCCTTTAGATAGGCCTGTGACCAAAAACAAAAATGTGTGTGTGCATAAATAAACTAACTATCTTTACTGTAGCGATGCAGTGGTGCAGTAAATAGTAGGTAGGTAGTAAGAAGGTCGCTGGTTCGAGCCTCGGCTGGGTAACTTGGCGTTTCTGTATAGAGTTTGCATGTTCTCCCCGAGTTCACGTAGGTTTTCTCTGGGTGCCCCACAGTCCAAAGACATGCGGTACAGGTGAATTGGGTAGGCTAAACTGTCCGTAGTGTATGAGTGTGTATGGATGTTTCCCAGAGATAGGCTGCAGTTGGAAGTTGGTCCACTGCATAAAACATATGCTGTATAAGTTGGTGGTTCATTCCGCTGTGGTGAACCCAGATTAATAAAAGGATTAAGCTGAAAATAAAATGAATGAATGAATGTTTACCATGTTCTGAGAGCTGAGCTGCTTATTTTGATAAGTGTGCAAAGGTCTCTCTCACTCACTCTCCCTCTTTCTCTCTCTCTCTCACACACACACAAACTATACTCCATATTAAAAAAAAAAACTTTTTTTGCACTTCAACAGATGATCAACCGTAAAAATTCCAAACTGTACATCTTCCGAACAGAGAAAACCACCAACAATAAAGAATGCATGACTACATGGTTTCATGGCTTTCCAATCAAAAAGTCATTATAATGGAAGTCAATAGAGCAAAAACTAACAACTAACAACTAACATAATTTGACACTTGTTTTAACAGAATAAAGTGCTTTGGTCTTATACAGACTGTTGGGCTTTATTCTGTGAAAAACAACCTCCTGGATGTAATTTATCATCAACTAAACAAGCACAACTTTGAAATTTAAAAATGCATTAGAAAAATGTTGAACCATTATGAATAAATGCTGATACTGTACAGGACAGTTCAAGTTTGTAAATCCATCACTTAACATTAACCTATGGACCATTATTTTTAAATGTTACTCAGTAACAATTATTATGTTCATAAAACCATTTTGAGACAACGTTTGATTGGTGCGTAATTCCAAAGATCGAACAATAACCAATTTAAAGACTTTTTTTGCAGTATATGCTGACATCTAATTGGCTTACTTACATCCTTTTCATCATAATCGAGTTGGTACCATTTCGTTTGTTTCTTTTCAAATACAAAAGGGTTTCTGTAGATCTCATAAAACTGCCGGAGTTGACTGAAGAAGTTGTTGAGGTTGATTTTGCTCCAGCTTCTTAGGAGGTCAAAGATAGTTTCCAGCATGATTGTACCAGCGATTTTTCTTCCCTGAAGTACATTTTTCTTTTCATCAGACCATATTGTTTTCTTAACCCATTCAAACATGTTTTTAGCTGGTTGTGCACAGATGATGTCATCGTACTGATGCCATTCTCCTGCAAAACAAATAAACAACATTAGTTTTTTTTTTTTTTTAACTAAATTATAAGTTGAATACAGAGTTCTGAGGAGCTCTACCTTCATCATTCAGAAGATGTGACTTGATAAACAGACATCTGTTTGTGGGTACTTCTGCATCCAGCTTGTAGATGTATTCATAATCATACTTATTTTTCTTTTGTTTATACACAACATACTTGTAGGGGATGGACACAGCTTCAGCATCTATTTTTCTGCATATAAACTTCCCTTCAACAAGAAATCCGTGCTCTTTAAGATCCCTGAAATGAGACTATCCTCATGAGAGAAAATCTGGATAGAGTGATGAATAAGCAATAACTGGTGCAGACTTTACTAACCGTGACACAGAGAGTTCGACCAAATTTTCTTCCCAGTTTCCAATGGGACCACCGGCCCTTATAAAAATCAAATCCTCTTCTGGGTTAAACTTGAAGTCTTTGGAGAGGACTGCATGAAAGTAAATGGTGAGTCTGTCACTGGAACTTATATGTTGAGTTGATCGTGTATTTCTGCAATTTAAAAATATTAATTAGAAAAACAGGAGAAAAAACATGTGAAAAAAGCACATCATCAAAAGATTCAGCATACCTTTTTGGAAGTGTAACACATTGACTTTCAGTATCCTCGCTTTCCTTGCTTTTCTGGTCAGCAGAAGAGTCTTTTTTCCCGCCAGCGGGCTTCTTCTCAACTTTCATCGCTGAATCTGCACTTGAACCACGGTTTTTCTAAAGGCAAAATTTGTTTCATTCATTTTACCACGTTTGTAATTTCAAATATTGGTCTGGCCAATGCATAAACCAACATATGAATCAAGTGTCTTAAAGCAGTGGTCCAGAGTGTATTTTTAAGGCTTGGTTGTGTTTATAAGATGCAAAGCAGTGAGTGCTCATGCTTCAATTGTAAAAAAAAAATCTATAATCCTTACTTTGATTGTATACTGCTACTCAGCTAACATAAAAACGAGCCCACCCTCAAGAGGCTCTGCTTGGTCAGCTAACATAATGTGCAGTGATTTGCGGATCGGCTCCAAGTCAACAGGAAAATCGTCACACCCCTACAAGCACGCACTTCGCCTCTGTTGTTTAAATACTGTCAGTCAAAGTAGCTGTTAGCCGTATCAGTTTGAGCCTGACAGAAAATGAAGAGGACAGAGCTGAACCTCATCCCTGCTCTCTATCTGACAAGTGTCTTTCACATATGTTCGGAATAAGCATGTGTAAGTAATATGAAACGTTCACATATCTTTTGCGAGTTAGTTATTTAAGATGTATAATGTTTGCAATGTATTACGTCCTTGCTACAACATACCATTAACGCTAGACACAATGCATGTCATAGATCAGGGGTGACCAACCCTGTTCCTGGAGATCGACCTTCCTGTTGATATTAGTTGCAAGCCATATCAAACACACCTGCCTGTAATTATCAAGTGCTGTTCAGGCCTTAATTAATTGGTTCAGGTGTGTTTGATCAAGGTTGGAGCTGAACTTTGCAGGAAGGTCGATCTCCAGGAACGGGGTTGAGCACCACTGTCATAAATCAATTTTAACAAATAAAAATATTTACAGGTTGTGGGTCACAATCCACAGCTCCTGCTATTATGGTTGGAACTGCTACTTCTTTGAGGAGTTTTTAGCCGAATCCAGCACTGAACTGGGAGAGGTTCTGGAAGCTGTCCTATGTCAAATGCTAGAGCTATGTATTTTTATAATTCTCTGGAACATAATTAAAATGAAACTGTAAGCACTTCTCTCTTTGTGTCGTGTCCTTTGGAAGCCCAAATACAGAAACAGAAGAAGCTCTGTGGAAATAGCAGTGTTTGGTTGGCATTTTAGCTTTCTCTGCTATAACATTACAGCACCTCTGGCCACGCCCCATCTCTGTGCGGAATGTATGTGCTTGATGAATGCACATAACCTAATGCGTTTGTGATCTCACTAACCCGGATGTATTTTTTGTAGTCCCCAAACTTTGCTAAGCTAACTCTGTAAAAGCTAACGTCTCACTTTGCACTGAACTTTTAGCATATTACATTTAGAGATGTTGTTTATGCTCACACAGCTGCAATACACATAAACCAAAGTTTAAAATATGATATCATAGTGGACCACCCCTTTAAATGTATATATACATTTACATATATCTTATAAACATAGGCATTTTCTGCTTACCTTGGGTGCACTATTTGGGCCGAACACCATTTTCTGTGATTCTTCAGTCTGATTTCTGTAATTTATAAAGTGAATGTATAAAGTATTACTTAACTATAAAACTAACTAAAATAGAAGCAGATATTGATTTTATTATGATTAGATTAAACGTATCTTTACTATGAAGACATGTTGTAAATTTTGTTCAGTAAACACAGAAGTCAACATTTGAAGTGGATCCAAACATTTTATCAATGTTGTCCTAAAACTATTCAACGAAACCCATTCTTGTCTTAGGACAAATTTTAAAAACCTTTCAGATCCACTTCAAATGTTGACTACTGTATGCATTGCTATGAATGGTATTTAAAGAACTTTTTAAGGTTTCTCAATATTTAGAATTATTTTAACCCTCAGATTGCAGATTTCAAATAGCCATATATCTGCCAAATAGGCCCCGTTAACACTGTCAGGACTTGATGCCCAACTCATTTGTTGCCAATATCTGATTTTTTTTTCCCGTTTTTTATCCGATTCATGTACTTGCCATACAAGTCGGCTGTAGCCCCCTATATTTCTACTTAGCCCTCCTAAAAAATTTGCAATTAGCTCATAAACTGTACACTAAATTATCGCCTCAGTCCCCTTTAAAATTGATAAGAAAACGGCGGCAGAATTTGGCTGATCCCCGTCAAGCCAAACCACAGCCATCCACAGCCATCCACAGCGAGAGGCGAGGTGTGTGTTTATTGATAAATTGTTATAATATCTGCTTCTTTGCAGTTCTTTGATATAGATAACCTTGTCTGCATGTATCCCAATGCCACGGAGGAGCAGTCAGGTTTTCTCGCCGTTCAACTCATCATCACAGCTGTTTCCTCCAGCGAAAAATGTCACTCTTAACGAACATTTTGCTATTTTTATTTCAAAATTAACAACCAATATTAAACACTTTACAGTTTGTGTGGCATTAACTATACCATACAGTCTTGCACAGAACCACTTAGAGAATGTACTCGTTTTAACTGTCACTGAGTCACTGACAGAGATAGAAACATCAAGTGTTGTCTAGTATTAAAAAAATACTTATTTATTATTATCATTCAGATCGTGTAATATGTGAATTATCCTGTAAGTTTAAATATATATATATATATATATTTATATGTGTGTCATTTAATTAGAAAAGTGGCAGTTAATTTATTTAATACATGGAAACAAAAAATGCATTTGAATGTAGAAAGTGATTTTTACAGCAGTAAGGTAGTATAGTACTGTAGTATTTGGCTTATTCAGCACTTAAATGGCTGTGCCTGTCAATGTAATACAGTGGAATCCTAGTATACAACCCATATTAATCAAATTCTTCATTTTTAAGTGCATTACGATTAAATTACAATGTATAATTACTACGTGATATTAGGCTATATATATATATATATATATATATATATATATATATATATACATAAAAAAAAAAAAAAAAAAAAAAAAAATATATATATATATATATATATATATATATATATATATATATATATATATATATATATATATATATACATACAATTGAAATCAGAATTATTAGCCCCCTTTAGATTTTTTTTTCTTTTTTAAATATTTCCCAAATGATTTTTAACAGAGCAAGGAAATGTTCACAGTATGTCTGATAATATTTTTTTCTTCTGGAAAAAGTCTTATTTGTTTTATTTTGGCAAGAATAAAAGCAGTTTTTAATTTTTTAAAAACCATTTTTGGGACAAAATTATTAGCGCCTTTAAGCTAATTTTTTTTTCGACAGTCTACAGAACAAACCATTGATATGTAATAACTTGCCTAATTACCCTAACCTGCCTAGTTAACCTAATTAACCTAGTTAAGCCTTTAAATGTCACTTTAAGCTGTATAGAAGTTTCTTGAAAAATATGTAGTAAAATATTATTTACTGTCATCATGGCAAAGATAAAATAAATCAGGTATTATAAATAAGTTTTTAAAACTATTATGCTTAGAAATGTGCTGAAACAATCTTCCCTCCATTAAACAGAAATTGGGGAAAAAATAAACAGGGGCGCTAATATTTCAGGGGGCCTAATAATTCTGACTTCAACTGTGTATATATATTTTTTTTTTTTACCTTATAAGAAGCTGAGCCCCCCTAAAATGAAAATCCTAAAATCACCCCAGGCGCAACACTAGCCCAGATGGAAGAAATTGTCTTGCTTTTACAGTAGCTCTGCAAAATATGCTAAGTTCGCCCAACTTTAAAGTGAATTTAAGGCGGACATGAGGAAAAAGGGAAAGGGCAGTCACCGCAGCTATGGTTTATATATGATGTCCTCCACTGACTATTCTCCCCATAGGGCAAGAAGGCAGGTAACTTCTGCTGTCAACTACTTAACACTTTCGTCCTCCATATTTCCTCTGTTGTTGTTGTTTACTGTTTCGGCATCTCCACACACCAATTCCTACTACGTCATTACACCACGGAGAAGTACCACATTGTCGCAAGTTTAATGACGTACAAAACGGAATGCCTCAATAAATCCGATCTGCTTGTTTACATGATAGTCGCATTGTCACATATCTGAATTATATCGGATTTACTTCCACATAGGAAGGAGGCCTGAAACTGATCTCTGAATATCCGAATGTATGCAGTCGTTTTTTTGTGCGTTTACACGATCATAGAACTGTGTCACATTCAGTATAAGTAAAAAATCAGAATTGGGTCACATTTAACTGGCAGTGTAAACCGGGCCATATTGTCCTGCATGCGTCAATTAAAAGAATATATATTCAGCTTTCAAATAATAAGTGAATGTCAGCTTCCCATAATTGAGACTTATGATTTATTTTGTGACCCAGGGTCACATTTATCAAATTATATCAAAAGTTTTGGCATACCTTTTCAGTTTGGGAGATGAGACAGGCTGGGTGCTATTTTCATTGTCTCTTTCACCACTTTTTTGTTTCTCAGATTCGGTTTTCTTCGGGTCAGCAACAGTTGACTTACTCGGCTTAGTCTTCACTGAAGAGCTCTTCTGCGGTTCTACATTCTGAGAGTCTTTGTCAATGTTTGCGTCGCTCTGTACGTTTGCATTCTGGTCTACATTAGCATTAGGAGTATGCTGTGCTTTTGCGGACAAACTCTTTTGGCCTTCATCCTTACATTTGACTTTTTCCTCTTTAGTTTGCTGATCTACTCCCAATGGCGCTTTAGAAGCACTGGCGCTGACTGGCTTTTGAGTCGTTCCAATACTCTCCTCGCCATCTTTGCTTGAACCTGTGGTTAAAGCAGATGCGCTAAGCTGTGCAGGCCCAGCAGTTTCATTCTCTGGTGGACTCAGATGAGAGGATGGTTCAGCTGGTGTGGGAGTATCTTCTACAATGCAGCTGGAGCAATCACTGTCAGACGACTGATCTGTGTCCATTTTTTTCTCTTTATCAGTTAGAGAAATATCAGAGAGATCTGAGGTCAGTGACGAGGGGCCTTCTGAAACACCAGATTTTTTCTTCTTTTCCTTTTTTCTCTTCTTTCTTTTCTGTTGAAGCAGGATCAATAGAAATGTGCATTATTAACAATATTTTGTATGTTTTTCCGTAAATTATCAAGTTAGACATTCTGTTCAGACTTTTTTTTTTGTTCCTCATAAAAAAAATCTATGGGTAAAAGAGCTTTTATGTTTAAGGGTCCATCAGATTGAAATAAATTACCTGCGAACATTCGATCCATTACATCATTTAAGGTCTTTAAGCAGACTTTGTTATTATATTTTACTTTGGATTGTACTTATTTTTCCTGAGGATGTTATTATTTTTTTGGTGATTAATTTACTGATCTGTATATAGTTTTTTCTACATATATATACTAGAGGTGTGAACCAATACTGCTCTCACGGTTCAGTTCGGTTACGATTATCATGCCTTCGATTTGGTTTAATTCGATATGTCAGTGCATCGACGATGATTTCCATATACAGTATTATATTTTAGGGGGGAGGCTATAACAAGCTGTCTGTATAAACACACGGACACACAGCACCACACTGTCTCTCATTCAAACACATACACAAACATAGACAGCAACAAACAAACACACACACACACACACACACTTAAGCCCTTGCAACAGGGAGAGCTTGAGCTGAGCGGAGCAGAAAAACTAAAAAAAAAAAAAAATAAATAAAAAAGGCGAAAAAAATAGGCACTTTTCCGACGGTCCCTTACTGAGAGCGCCTCTCAGCGTGAGCTCACCCGGCTAAACACATATTGGGAGGCCTTAAACGGAGCAGTGCTCGTAATGTTGAGCGAAAAAAAGAAAGACAGCTGTGAAACATAACCAGCTTTGCCTTTTGTAGGAAACAAACTTTAGATCTTTTTAGGGTAAGAGGTTTTTGAGTTATTGCCGTTGATAACTGAATGTGTGTCAGGAATATCGAAAACAAAACCAACTGAACCGCGCTCATTTCTGGCGCCTCCCTGGATATACAGCACCCTTAGCATAGGCCTATGGTGCCTATGCCCCGGGCCGGCCCTGAGGTGGCCGAGTGTTGTAAATACTCGCGCTCACCTCCCTCGCGACAGAGCGCATAGGAGATAAATGAAGTCAGTACATAATAACCGGTTATGATTATTACTGAACCGATACTGAATTGTCCGCGTCTGCATCGCGGTGCACCGAAGAAACAATTAATTTTGACACCCCTAAAATATACATATGTTTGTATTTATACTACTCCACCCCCCCCCCCCCTCCTCCCTTCTTTTCTTTTTTTTTGTTATTTTTCTTTTACTTTATTTTATTTATTTATAATTTTTTTAAGTTATGTCATGTTTTTTGGATGTTGTGTAAATTATGTTTTGTCTTCTTGAGTTGTTATTATGTGATTGTGATTAATTTGTGGGACCCCCTTAAAAATGAAATGGTACATCTCAAGGGGTTTGTCCCAATGAATAAATATCATTATAAATCATTGGTCAACAAAATTTAATTTTAAAGGGGAAATATTATGCAAAAATCCCTTTATAAGGAGTTTAAACAGGTGTGGGGCAACAGTCTGTGAGTATAACTGGCTTTTAACGGCAAACGTTAATTAGTTTAACTTATTTATGATCGCACTTCATAAAAAAAGTTTGCAGAAACACTTTGATTGACTTTCTCCCTTTTATACGTGTCATCAGAGGGGGCAAGCCCCGCCCATTAGTGACAATCTCTCCCTCATTAGCATAGGACATTAGTCTTGTTTTTCTAAATGTATCTGTGGACTGCAAGACAGGGGCGTAACATGAAGGGGCGTAAATTGTAGTAAGTTAGAGAGGCGTAACTTGCAGTTATTGAGATCCCGATCCATGTTCACAGATGTTCTTGGCAAGATAGCGGAACAGAGAACATTTTCAGCAAATGTTTTCATGAGGTTCTCTAAATTTATCCACAATCAATTCATTTGAAATCTTATAGTATTCATTCATTTAGCAACTGCACAATGCAACTAGCTTTGATAATAGCTAGCTTTTTAATAGCTTTGATGGTTGGGTTAAGGGTTGGGGTAGGTGTAGAGTTAAAAAACTACGATGGTTGGATTTAGGTTTGGGCTGCATGGTGGCGCAGTGGGTAGCACATTCACCTCACAGCAAGAAGGTCACTGGTTCGAACCTCGGCTGGGTCAGTTGGTATTTCTGTGTGGAGCTTGCATGTTTTTCTCATGTTGGCATGGGTTTCCTCCGGGTGCTCCGGTTTCCGCCACAAGTCCAAAGACATGTGGTATAGGTGAATTCTGTAAGCTAAATTGTCCGTAGCCGTAGAAATCTCTCCGGCCCTTCGTTTGGGATGCTTTTCATGAACTGGCTCCCATTACAAACTAATTGAATAGCCCTGGTGTAGACGTTAATAACTGATGGTTGGGTTAAGGGTTGGGGAAGGTGTAGACCTTAATAACTGTGATGGTTTGGTTAAGAGTTGGGGTAGGTGTAGACATTAAAAACTATGATGGTCGAGTTAAGGGTTGGGGTAGGTGTAGACATTAATAACTGTGATGGTTGGATTTAGGGTTGGGGTAAGTGTGGACATTAATAACTGTGATGCTTGGGTTTATGATTGGGGAATGTGTAGACGTTAATAGCTTTGATGGTTGGGTTAAGGGTCGAAGTAGGTGTAGACTTTAAAAACTATGATGGTTGGGTTTAGGTTTGGAGAAGGAGTAGTCGTTAATAACTGTGATGGTTTGGTTAAGGGTTGGGGTAGGTGTAAACATTTAAAACTATGATGGTTGGGATAGGTGTAGGTGTAGACATTAATAACTGTGATGGTTGGGTTTGTGGTTGGGGAAGGTGTAGACGTTAATAGCTTTGATCATTGGGTTAAGAGTTGGAGTGGGTGTGGACATTAAAAACTATGATGGTTGAGTTTAGGTTTGGAGAAGGAGTAGTCATTAATAACGATGATGGTTGGGTTTAGTGTTGGGGAAGGTGCACACCTTAACTGTGATAGATCGATAAGGGTTGAGGTAGGTGTAGACACTAAAAACTATGATGGTTGGGTTAAGGGTTGGGGTAGATGTAGACGTTATTAACTATGATGGTTGGATGTAGGGTTATGGTAGGTGTAGACATTAATAACTGTGATACTTGGGTTTATGGTTGGGGAAGGTGTAGACGCTAATAGCTTTGATGGTTGTGATAAGGGTTGGGGTAGGTGTAGACTTTAAAACTATGATGGTTGGGTTAAGGGTTGGGGTAGGTGTAGACTTTATGATGGTTGGGTTTAGGTTTGGAGAAGGAGTAGTCGTTAATAATGATGATGGTTGGGTTAAGGGTTAGGGTAGATGTTGACATTAAAAACTATGATGGTTGGGTTAAGGGTTGGGGTAGGTGTAGGCGTTAATAACTGTGATGGTTGGCTTAAGGGTTGGTGTAGGCGTTAATAACTGTGATGGTTGGGTTTAGGTTTTGGGTAGGCGTACACGTTAATAACAATGATAGATGGGTTTAGGGTTGTGGTAGGTATAGACGTTAATAACTGTGATGATTAGGGTTTAGCTGTGGAGTAGGTGCAGACATTAATAAATGATGTACAGCGCCATTTTGCTGACAACACAGTTTTGACATGAGGGTCCATAACCCTAACAAGTTACGCCTCTAACATACTACAGGTTACACCTCAGACCCTACTCTGTTTTTGAATCTGCTGCTATACTGACACGCAAGCATGTGTAGCTCCACCCTCTTTTGAAAAGAGCACAATCTCATTTGAATTTAAAGCGACAGTCACCAAAATGGCACAATTAGGATCAAAGCCTGAAAGGAGCAGTTTCAAAGAGTTATAAAAAAATATTTGTGTGTTACTTTGTGCTGAAACTTTACATTCACACTCTAGGGACATTAGAGACTTGTTTTACAACTTTCACAAAAAGGGTCCATTTAAAGATATTTTATACTTTTATATTCATTTAAGCTTTTCAATTGTTAAAACTGATGTACCTTCTTCTTTGGATTAGGGCTGGTATTTTCATTCGGTCTTTTTGGAGATACGTTGGCATTCTGGATTTCCAGTGATTTTGATTCAGATCCAGTCTCATCCATTTCTGCATTTGTGATTTGAGGAACAATGGAGGGTGTTTGAGACTTGTCATGTGGAGTGCCTGACAACACAGAAAAACACAGATCAAACTGTCACAGCCCCTTCCTTAAAAGCTGTAATGACCTCTTGTTAAGCTCTGACCTTTTTTGGTCAAAATATGGATTTATTTTTAAATCTTTGATATACTCTGCCAATAGGATTCAAGAAATCAATTCCAGACTATGTCAACATGCAGAGTAAGACAATCATAAAGTGGCCTGATTCACTGATCTCATCTAGAATTTAAACCCTTCTCAAAAGGATAATATTAGTACAAAACATTTTATTTACAGTAACTGTGATGCTACAACACTCAGTTATTATGACATTCCTTGTGTGCTGTTGATTTTGAGTCTTAATTTAAACACAACTGTCTCTGTTTCAGCAAATAAAATGCTTTTTGGTGACAAATCTTATTTTGGAAAAACGGGAAAAATTTTGCAAAACCTCAACGATACAATAAATGTATTAACCTTTCGTTATGTTGATAGATGTTGACTTGTTTGATTGCAAACCATTGTTGGTGGTTTCCCTGTTGGGAATAGGGTAAAATTATTATTTTTTACTGTTGCTCATCAGTCGCAGTAAAAAAAAGTGTAGTTTCTTGCTTTTATATGCAGTATAGTGTCTGTGCTTGAGTGTAAGAGACCTTAGCACACTAAAAAAATCAAAATGAGAAAACTAAATTAAGAAAATCGAAATCTCAGCTCTCAGCACATTGTAGACACAGTAAGTACATTCATGCATGCACACTTTAACTTGCGGGAAAACCACCAACAATCAAGAATGCATGATTATATCCTGTAATGGCTTTGTAATCACAATGTATAATTATAATAAAAGTCAATGGGGCTAAAACAGCCACCAACATAACAAAAGGATATTAAATTAAGGGTTACCACCACAAAATAGGCTACAAATGTCAAAATAAACAATTAAAAAAGCCACCTCCAATTCTTATTTTTTCATGTCATAAACATTAAAGATGCATCCAAGAAGGGATCACATCATTAAACTTAGAGCAAACTTTACTTTAAGGTACAATTCTCACTATTAATAAACCATGACTTTTGCCTCATACTAATAATTGATTGCTTAGTAATAGTTAAGAATTAAGAGAATAATAGTACAATTAGAGATTTAGAATAGATCATGCAGAAATACTGAAGTGTTACCAAAATATGACTAAAATCTTTTAGAATCATTTATTACATATAAAACTGTGCAGCAGAATTGTTGCCTGTGGGATCACAGGGCTACTAAGAAAATTCAGTAACACTTATAAGGTTAAGAATAAGGTTCATTAGTTAATGCATTTACTAACATGAACTAATCATGAACAACACATGTACAGCATTTATTAATCATAATTAAACATTTACTAATGCATTATTAACATTTAAGTCCATGCTTGTTAACATTAGTTAATGCACCTTGAGTTAACATGAACTAACAATGAACAACTGTATTTTCATTAACTAACACTTACTAACATGAATAAATACTGTAGAAAACGTATTGTTTATTGTTTGTTCATGTTAGTAAATGCATTAATTAACATTAACTAATGAACCTTATTGTAAAGTGTGACCAAAAATTTTGCTACATGAAGTCAGATTAATCAATACTTAATTAATTAAGATTAATAGACCATTATTATTACCATCAAAAGTTAATCAATACCACCTGATTACATTTCCTATTTCTTTACTTATTATTTTTTTTTACAATACATGTAACTACTATGCTGAATACTGAACAGCCAGAGAAAAATGACAAACAGTGAGGTAAAAAAATTCACATAATAAAAAGTCAGGGGGTCAAAAGTCCAACTAAAGAATGTTAAACGGAAATAATAAAGTACAGTTTTACCTCCTTTTATTATCCAATTAAACGTCAACAGAAATAAAATGAATTCAAAAGTGAACATCAATAAAAGCATGCCAAAGCATTTATGCAAACCAATGAAAGAGCAGACAACAAAGTAAGAATTTCTATGTGTAAGAAGACATAATGAATCTAAAGACTCTACAGTACCTTGTGTTGTCTCGTAAGATTGAGATTGCAGTTTATGTCCACACTCACTGCAGAACTTTGGGGCCTTTTCCAAAGCCTCGTGACTGCACTTAGGACACTTCATTCTATGGGGAAGAGCACAAGTATGAAGTAACTCCTCCATAACATGACAAGAAAACATACAGTCACATGAGTTCCAGGAACTGCTTTCAAAAGCAAAAGCAAAAAGGAATTGCTTTCGATTTCAGTTTTCTTAAAATTAAAAATTAACAATGGGAGGGGAGTCTGTAAATACAGAGTGAAAATCACATGCTGTGAATAAATGCAATGAGTCAGCTACAATGACTTTATGGTCACCTACAGTAAGCGGAAGAAAATGAATGAATGTATTGTACATCAATTTAGTACAGAGTGTGTGTTAAAGGTCAATCTTTGATAAATGCAAACTCCACAAACTCTTTTAATAAACCCTTTTAAAATGTTGTTGTTGTTTATTAAGTGAAATGTGTACATTCTGTAACAGAACAATATTTCAACTCAAAGTTTACTTCGACCAAAGAGCATAGAATCACCAAGAGGCTACACTCTAGTGCGATTCAGGAAACAGCCACTAGATGGTGCGGTGGCCATTTTGGAATGAAAACTCCATTAGAACAACAGCATATTATAAGTCTGCAAAAAAAAAACTATTAAAAGTGCTGATGAATGTGATAGTAAGTGTTGTATTTTCGTCTTAAGGTTGTATCACAGCTTTAATGAGCTTTTTAAATAAATAAATAAAAAACAAAAAGCAGCTGCTTGCCATCACAACAGCAATAAGATCCAAAGGACAGCCGACCGCTTTCACTCCAAAATGGTGGAATCCAGGGCTGTTGCTGGGCGCTGCTGTTGCAATGAAACGTTCTATTGAGTGTCGCCTCTTGGTCATTCTAAGCTCTTTGCTTTGACTTAGAGTCAACCGTAGCCATGAAAATAATTATTATACAAGATAGCTGTTCAAATCATAGCACAAGCATGTTACTTTACGTAATTAGAAGTTTGCAGTTATCTAAACTTTAGACAGAAGAAGAAATAATTACTATCAAAATTGAACTTTCAAACCTCAAAATGTGAAATGATCCTGCTCTTTTTCACAGAAAGAGAAAAAATTCTACTGCACATGTGCAGATTAGGTGTCAGCGTTCTAGCTGGTTTTTGATTGGAGGAATTGATTTTTACAATTGCTCCTAATGATAATCAATGGTAAACAATCTCCCTAAGCCCTCTTAGGAAATACCAGACAGTTTAGAAGAACCTGATGTTGAAACAGAAGTTATGGATTTTAATTTTCTAGTTCAGACATGGTTTCTACTCTGCACTTAAAAAGAGTTAAAGGAGTAAACTGCAAAGATATTTCTTGCAATATAATTAACAAACAAAATCCGCATCATGCTATTTACATGACGTAAAGTAAGTGGAAGTGGAAAAACTGAGCATTTCACGAGCAAGAAAACAGTTAAACAGAGCATCTGCAGCGCAAGAATGAGAGATAAATGATCTACTTTCACTTTTGCTCCTGTGGATAGGGAAACCTTGTACGCACAGACATCAATTAGCCCATAAATAATTAATTTTGTTTGTTAAGCGCAAATATTTGTTTCAAAACTATTTCTAAATTCAGTTCTAATTTTCAGCAAACGAATAAATGAACAATAATATTGAAGTGTGTTGAAAAAAACTGAGTTATATCCAAATACACATGCTGTGCCCCATATGGTCTAAAACCTGACAGGTGGGCAAATCTAAGCTTGTTTTTAATAAAACAAATATAAATATGGATATAATAAATAATACTGCAAATAATAATAACATTATACAAAAGCAAATTGTTATCAATGAACTGAAAAAGCCTCTCGAGATGAAGAAGACATGAAGGCAGTAGTTTTTATATTTATGTAGGCTAGAAAATAATATGTTTTGTCATATTTTAATCCTTTATATTTATATCCTATGTATATCCTTATTATATCCTATATATATATATATATATATATATATATATATATATATATATATATATATATATATATATATCTTTAATATTTAATTTATTTTTCATATGTAAAGATATTTGTGTATTGCTCTACATCATGTGTGTATTAAGCAGTGTGTAAGCGAGGCACAACTCTGCGCTGGAGTTTAGACCGGGTTAGTTTTGGTCTATTGAAATATCTATTTTAGTTTCTCAAAATAGCAACGCGCTAGCAATACACCTCAACACGCCTCCCTTTTTAGACCAGAACGCACATATGAGCGCAAATGCATTTGCTGTTTAAACAGCGTGGCACAAAACGTCAAAACAACTCTTGTGCCAAGCTGAAACTAGCAAGCAACAAATGCGTCGCGCCTTGCGCCAGGTGTATGATAGGGCCCATAATTTTACAATGCTTAATAAAAGTTATATTTAATAAAATGGAACACACAAACATCTCATAATGAATAGAGGAAAAAGGCTCTCTGAAGACATTCACAGCAAGATTGCTATGCTGCAAAAAAAGGCATTGGTAGGCCCACACGGAATCTGCACGCGCAGAAATCAGCAGATTTTTAGCCCATCATAGGGTTTACTTATTTAAACTTATTTACTTGTGTAAATGTGTGTGAATTTAGATGAATTAAGTTTTTTAATTAATTTCAGTAATAGTATTGACTAATATGAAAATGTTCATATGATTTAATTACAATAAAGTTTGTTAAGTGATATTTTAAGTCTTGTAGTAGATATATTATATGAGAAACTTGCTTTGTTTACCAAATAAGTGGTTCTAATTGGATTTGCATTATAAACATAAAATAAAAGTTAAAAAGGTTTTTATTTTATATAATAAGTTCTTTAGCTACAATACTCCCTAAATCATTCTGCAGAATTTTTTACAAAATTCTCTGCAGAAATAGCAAAAAATATCTGCAGATTCTGTCAAGCCCAAGCCATTGGTTACTGATTGATTTCATAACTCCTAAATGTTCCAGTAAGCAACACTGGGTACATTATCTACATGTTAGGAACATTCAATCCACAATCAACCAGCCATGCAGAAGCTCCAGGCAAGAAATGGCCTTGACCCTAAATTAACAGTGAAGCTTGGAGGTGGAAGCATCAAGTTATGGAACGGTTTTAATTCTTATTGAACCATTAGATTTAATAACATAGAAAAAAAAAAAGATAAATGGAGCCAAATTCAAAATCTGCTGCTATCCACCAGGAAAAAGAAAACGATATATTGGACATTCCAGTATTACATCATTCCAAAACATGAGGCAAAAGAGACTCTCAAATGTTTCCAGCAAGAGGAAGAAAATAAGCTTTGTTGGAATGGCCCAGTCAATCAACCAAAACTTTAAACCAATACATCATTTATGAAAGGAAATGAAAATCAAGATTTACAAAAAGGCCATCCTGCAACATTCAACACTCAAAGAAGAGTGGGCCACAATCCTGCCTGAGCACTGTTAGCGATTAGCATAATACAGGAAGTGTCTTAAAGCGGTCATCGCAAACAAAGGCTTTTCCTCCATGAAACTGATACAAGTTCAGTTTGCTTATAAAATAAATCTTATCAGTGTTATTTCACTTCCAGTTATTGAGTAAATACCAAGGTCTGATTTCATTGAATAACAATGCAAAAAAATACACAGTTAATGTGCTGAAGAGGCCTACTTATTTTCTCAACTATACTTTCAATTCAATTCAGCTTTATTTGTTTAGCGCTTTTACAATGTAGATTGTGTCAAAGCAGCTTCACATAAAAGGTCATAGTAATAAAAACAGAGTAGCAGTTTAACTATACGTTGGCATCTGTAGAATCACACTGGGTACGGTTTAAATAACAACTATTTGTTTTGTTAAATGAATCAAAAATAAATATTAATCACAATTTCAGATAGGACTACTGCTAAAGTATTAAAACTGTTGATTTATTGTTATTTACCTCGAGTGAGAATTTTTTTTTTTTTATCTTTTTCTTGTGAAAGATACTCATATTGGCAAACATTGAACGACTGAAATGACTTACTACAAAATTCACTTTAAAACGCACAAAAATAAAAAAGCTAAAGTATAAAAACTGTTGCTTTAATGCTATTTACTACCCTTGTGTCAGAATCAGAATCAGAAAGAGCTTTATTGCCAGGTATGTTCACACATACAAGGAATTTGTTTTTGGTGACAGAGCTTCTACAGTGCAACAGAATTACAGACACTGGACAAAAAACAAATAATAATAAATATATTTTAAATATAAAAGTAGTGAGTGCAAATATACAAATAGACAAGTGTATGTACAGGTATATTACTATATACAACGTTATATGTGCAGCTGTTATGTGCAAATTGGCATGCAAAGTGTGTTGTGTGATATCACAAGAATATTAATTATCTTTTTTGTGAAAGATACTTAAATTGGCAAACATTGAATGACTGGAAATGACCTACTACAAAATTCACTTTGAAAAAGCACACATAAATAAAACCGGTGTTATAAAGTCAATTAGGATTACTGCTTAAAAAAAAATCTCTAAATTATGAAATACTGCATGCTCTTGTAGAAAATGCATGAGATTATTAAACACAAAACAGTTGCAGTAGGCCGGAATTTCTGTAAATAAAGCCCCCAATATGACTTGCATCCAATATACCCCAATATAATTATCGTATATATTTAAAAACTTCCTAAACAAACCAAAAACAACCACAGAATATTATAAAATATGATTTTAGTCAGTCAATGGAAAACATACATTTTATTTAACACAACCCAGATCACATAACTGAGTTGCAGTAGACCTATCTAAATCTTTGTAAATAAACCCCCAATATTATATCCAATATACCCCAATAAAATTATCATATATATTTTAAAACTTCTTTAGCGAACCAAAAACAACCATGGAATATTAAATAAATATGATATTAGTCAGTCAATGGCAAACATACATTTTATTTAACACAACCCAGATTATAGAGTTGCAGTAGGCCTAATCTAAGTTTCTGTAAATAAACCCCCAATATTACATCCAATATACCCTAATATAGTATTTTGAAACTTAAACAAACAAATAATAATAGAATTTTAAAAATATCATGAAATTAGTCAATAATAAGCACATTTTATTTAATGCGTTTCATGCGTCCATCGTTATTTGCTATTAGAGTATATCAATCAGACATAAATCCACGTGAATACATTAATATTAATAATAATAAAAGAATAATATATTTTACTTAATAATAATTGCTGCAACTTCCGGCTTCAGACGTACAGGATATCTGCAGCAAAATACCCAACAGAGGCCGCTGTTGCCCAAATAATAAGCAAGAAACCACCAACCCCAAATGAAAACAAAATGAAAGTACAATAATAAGAATTGTTTAGTCATCAGCGAAAGTGGATATGTAGGTAAAAGTATATTACAGGCTCTACTTACGAAAAGACACCTCTTTAAGATATTATCGTCCGGATATAGGGTGTATTAGCGAACCTATAGAGTATTTCACGACCAACTTTTCCCCCAATTTACACAGTAAATGACAGTTTTGACACTTCATCGACGTTTAAACTCCAATACCGCATGTTATGCTAACGTTAGTATTTTATCACATAAACTGCGCAAACAGCCGCAAACTCGATAACGCAACAGCTATTATGTTAATAAGGAAGCTAAACACTAGTTGTGCTCTGGAAAGTTGACGTACATAATAAACAGTCTGCTCGGGTGTTATTTTAGCTGTCGAAACGGTTTGTCTGATGTTAAAGTATGAGCTGTGTGATGTTAATCCAGACGAACTGCCAATCTAACCTCATGTGACATGCTAAAGCTAAACAGACACAGACTACCAGCAAGCCGAGTGTCAGGGTTTTGTCTTACCTAAAGCAGGTGTGCGTTGTCACAGAGCATGCATGTCACCGGACCATCATCGTGTATTTGACACAGCTACTCTGAGCAGATCTGACCGCGTCTCTGCTTCTCATGCAAGAAAGCTAACCTTGCTGAAGAAGAGCCCGGGCACTTGCATCTCAGAACTTTCGATTCGTGAGAAATGGGCGTGATGGTTATAAAATGTACTTACATCCAAAACCAAAAGCAGACAA